CCCTACTGATGGTGACAATGCGTTCAGTGGGCAAGTCGGAGCGCTCCCTGGCCCTCGGCCTGCAGTTTGTCATCATCCGCCTACTGGCCAATCTGCCCTCACCCATCACTTTTGGTCGTGTCATTGACGGCGCCTGTCTCTCCTGGCGTGACGAGTGTGGCCGCAGGGGTGACTGTGCCCTCACGGACCGCCGTTACCTCACTTTTTACCTAACCGGTATGTCTCCGGTCGATAACGGCCTTTTTTGTCCGTTGTGGCTGCTGTCTGCAGTGCGTACAGAAGGGTGGGAGGGGGAAGTTAGGACGCCTCCACACCTGACGATCAAATTCATTTAGCGACGCTCTTGCCCATCTTCTGTGCCTCGTGATTTTCGATCTACTGTGATCGCTCGTGGATTTAGCTGAAATGTAATCACCCACCCCTCCCAGATCGCACTGCATCCCGCGAACGCGGTAACTCCTACCACCACCAACGTCATTGTAAAGCGGTCTTAACCGCCGACACATTAGTTTTACTCGCCTGACGTTTCGGGTTCACGCTGCAGTCCATCATCAAAGACTGTCTCAGATAAAGATACGGTCGTGTCCCAACTGCTTCCGAGAGATCGTATCTTCGCTTGTATCCAACGTCACTGTCAAGTGTCGTTCATATTCCTTGCGAGAACGGTACCGACAGAGCCACCCATCAATAATATCATCCTATATTAACACGCCTAGACCTCTAAACCGTGCACTGTCATTAGACAAGTAAGGAAAGGGCGTGGATGGCCGAACGACAGCTGGACCACTTCAGAACCGTGAAGTGAGTATGATAAACATACTGTCACATGTGTCGTCTCCGAGGTCGGCAACCAAATGTAGACGTCTTCTACCCAACGACAGTAAGTAGCGACCGTGTAACCGTGGATTTCAGAGGGGGGGGGGCTTGTTTTATTTAAGTCGTGCCCATCACTTTTCTCGCTTATTTTTTCCCCCATGGCTTCAGTAAACCTTGTCCGTCTGACTGTTTTCCATGCCTTCTCATTTGGAAACCTTTAAATTGGCAACTATTGCACCTTAAACGTCTCCGTAGTGTATTCAGTTTATTTGTTCGAGTTTCTGGGCGGTATCTTATGGTTTCCGACCAAAGACGATGTTTATACAGTGCAATTTTTGAATGTTACTGGCTTCTTGATGAAAGACGGATGCCACGAAGCCTACCTGCAATTGGTGTCACCCTAATACCTGGGAACACAGCCGTGTCTTTCAGGATTGTGCTGAACATGAAGGACTCCGTCGGTTTACATGTTTTGCGGAGCGCTATCTACGCCTGCGCTGCCATTCCTGGGCTTTGTTTGGTCCATAAACTTAATTAGTCGCCGTTAGCCCCGCCTACTTACAGACGGCTTCCTCCCCCCACCCCACCATCATCTCCAAAAATGACCTTGTTTTTGCCTGTGGGAATTCATCTACCTCCATTCAGCCTGACGTCCAGCTCCATCTTCTCACCTAGCCCTGGATTTCTCGCGTAGACACTGCCTGCCCGCCGCAACATTGCTCCACTTTCCACTCCTCTCCATCCCCCTCCCCCCACCACCACCATATCCCCCTATTTTGCCTGGAACGCCAATCCTTCCTGTTCCTCCCCCGCCGTTTCTCTCTCTCTCTCTTGCTGTCTCCACCGTCTACCCAAACGTCCTTGCCCGCATCCTTCCTCTACCAATGCAGTGCCTGTTGTGGCGCTTGTTTTGTTGCCTGGTTCTCTTATCCTTCCAATTTCGCTCTTCCTACCCGTAGGCCCTGGATTTGTTTCATTTTTTTTCATCTGCTTGCTGCCCTTGAGCGCGATTGGAGAGGAGGAGGGGAAGTTTCTGTCCACGCAGTTGAATCAAGCTGAAGCAAAAACCTGTTGGTTCGGATGTGGTTTGGTAGCCCCACCTGAAGTAAGCGAATCCCAGTCACCGCTAATACGGGACCGGTAGTAATAGGGGTTTTTACAGGTGGAGCCGGGGAAGGCGCAGGCAACGAAGTGTCAAGTAGTTGTGTGCCAAAGGAAAGCTATTGGGAGTGCGTGCTTGTACTTTCAGTGGTTGAGAAATAGTTGCGCTAACCCCTAACTATAACCCCTAATCCTAAACCCTGGCCTTTAACCATAACCGCTAACTATAACCCCTAACACCTAGCCAAAACCCTTAACCCCAACGCCAATAGTATTGTATCCATCTGGTGGGGCTACCAAACCACATCTTACCGCCTGTTGTACTCATGTGAGGCACTTTCTTTCCAATCGTCGGGGCCTGCCCTCCCCATTTTCATACTTAGATTATACGCATAGGAGTCGGATACCAGGCTTGGCTAGATCGCATTTGGTAGCCCGGACCCGTATTACAGGTGGCTTTCCTTTTGCATACAACTACTTGACACTTCGTTGCCTGCGCGTTCCCCGGCTCCACCTGTAAAAACCCCTATTACTACTGGTCCCGTATTAGCGGTGACTGGGATTCGCTTACTTCAGGTGGGGCTACCAAACCACATCCGACCGGGGCTAGATCGCAGTTGGTAGCCCGGACCCGTATTACAGGTGGCTGGGGGGGTTGTTTACTGGGGCTATTTTGTGGGGCTCCATAATCACATCTGTCCCATTTGGCTTCCGTATTACGTCTGACGTTAGGATTAGGGTACAAGTTAATGGTGGCCGATTTTCAGGTTAGGGTTACGTCCTTAGGCTTAGGTTTTCGAGTTAAGGTTAGGGTTTGAGCGTACGAATGGGTTTCAGTATTACGGTTTGGCTTCTCAGATACAGCTATGTCTAAGGGTTACGGTTGCGTTTAAGATTTTGGTTGGGGTTAGTGATGCCGATAGGGTTAACGTTTAAGGTTGAGGTTGGGGTTAGGGTTGAGGTTAAGATTAGAGTTAAGTTCGCCGTCCGCTTCCCATTCCTGGCTACCAACTGCGATCTTACCCCAGGCTTTACCGGTTTCAGCTTTAGAAAGACTGCGGGAACTCCGACCAACTATCCTTCGAGTGCATACCTTTGGCGCATTGTGGCGGAGTTTGTTCGGCAGATCGATTTGGATTTTACCTGTAAACGGCGCAAACAGCAGTAGACACAGTGTGATCGCCGGCAGACGATTGCAGCCGGACAAGTCACACTTGACGTTTCGTCTCTCAATCTCGATTAGTGTGAAACACAGAATGTCGCTTATTGCTGAAAAGGGATTAGACCGTCCGTCACATTTTCGAACAAACTCTTATTGTTTCCGTCATTGCGCCTTTTCTCTCCCCATATTTTCGCTTCTCCCCCTTCCCCCAACCGTCACGCTGTATGACGACGATTTGGCCCCTGAACTGTGCCCTTCTGCAGATTCTCTATGCGCTTCCATGTACTTTCGATTTGAGCCTAGAACAGTCTGCTTAGGCAAGTGTGGAAGATACCCTTAAATTTCTTTAAGACTCCGAACTCACCTTGTTGGCTCTCTCCTACGCCACCTCAACGGCGCTTTAGCTGTTTTCTTCACACTTGAACCAATCCTCTTTTCGTAGCCACAGTGCCCTGCTCATCCCGTTGCGCCTTGTCTGTCAATCTACAGCCCTCGTAGACAGTCGCATAGTGATCAGTAATAGTGCAGGAAGAAGCAGCGATAAAGACGAGGGATACTGGAATGACCATGCCTAACCTCAGGTTTGGGTACCTTTACTGGCCGCTATGCGGCTTCATGTGAGGGTTCTAGATTGAACCACAAGAGGCCACGGGAAGAGCATATTCCGCAACCTGATATGTGTGTGCACTTCCACTATCATTAATAGTAGCAGACTTTTTCGGCAGATTTGAATGATTCCTTTGACCCAATTTTGAAGTACTCGACGACCTCGGTGGGATTTGAACCCACGACGGAAAGGGCAAGGCTTATGTACAACCAACGTTCTAGCCACCTAAGCTACAAGGCCCTGATCGGGAGCCGTGAGTCTAATCCGATTCGAGTTAACTTACCGTTCCGTGTCCTAACACTAACCCTAATCCTAATCCCCTTGAGATCTTGCGCAAAGTCACCTCTTATACGGGGAGGTCCATATTCCCCATGCCCTACTGTCATGTTTCCATGCGTCGGCATCCACTATGTGGAATAAGAAAGATTCCCGTGGCAAGGTGAAACCACCCACTTGTAATAAGGTAGTATTTGCTCCTTCGAACTTCCGTTATTCCCTCTGTTCGGCTTTCGTTTAAGGCACTGTCTTCTTCTCGTGCTTTTAGAGCATTCTATCTATCTATTGGCTGAAGCACCATTCTGTACTGTTTTGCGACTGCCCGCGATAGGTCCTCGTGTTCAGTACGCGTTCAAGGTCGGTTCAAAGTCGGTTCTCAAGCTATTAAGCGTTGCCAATTCTCCCCTGGAATATCGTCGAAACACGCGTGTATGGGCTTTTTGCTAGTACCTGTGTTCATTGATGTTTTGGCAGATTTTTGAATTATTCCTATTGACCCAACTGTGAAAAACTCGGCGCCTCGGTACCTGTGTTGTTTGTATGGAATCAACTTGCCCTAAAGTATACTACTGGCTGCCTGTCGGCAGTTAATGAATATTACGCGGTTATCCGCTGTGGCTGATGGCCATAAAAAACTTAGGTCTGAGCCTATAGACCTTAAATATGCTGATGTACTCCAAGTTCGCAGTTAATTTCTAAGTAATTGAAAAAGCTACAACTCCCCTGGAATTCGTACGAGTAATCCGCGCTTGCCGTTTGTTAGGTCGTTACTTGGTGGGCTCCTTGACTCCCAGCTACCGATCACGGCTATTTGAAACGTTCTTCCCCTCCTGTCTCACGGGGTAAACATTAGTACTAGGAAGATTGTGGTGGTGAAAGCAGTATTTCCGTGACGCATCCACTTTTAGCATTGCTTATTCAGCACCAAACAGTTTTCCATATGCAGAATAGCACCACTGACAAACACAAGGACGACTGGTACAAACACAGCCTCCGATAGGCGATAAACAGCACGGGGAACTTATCAGATCTACGATTGCGCCTAGTAACCGGGGGCCGTGTCCTGTAAAGCAGGCGGAAATTGACCAAAATGAGGTACAATAATCAGCATGCGATGGTAGTGGGAGAGAGGGAAGAGCTGAAAATGTGACAATGGCTATTTGGCACGGACTTTCCAGCAGGGCAGGAAAGACTAATCACGTGATCTCGCTGGTTTTTTTCTCCCTATTGCCGGGATCCTCGATCATTGGACGTTTTTAATATTTGCCCCCTACGATTAAACCACGGTCGCGTTCTTTCTGTTTCGAATATTCAAAATCCCTGAAAGGGTGTCTACGGATTAGGTTACAAGACTTGCACGCTCCTTCGCGCCTTGAGGGTTTGAACAGGAAGTCTGCATAGACATTGGTATGGCAACCAAGAAGGAGCCTCAGTAGTAGAGCGCTGGACTCAAGAAGGCCTGATGATGGAAGAATTCATGTTCAAATCCCTGATTATTTAAACCGAGAATTGCGTAAGGACTGACGGACGACAGCAAAAGAGCCTGAAATTACCATCCCGCCTTCCCTTGTGCTCGTCAGAATTCCTTCCTGGGCAACGGTAGGGTGTAGGACCCCCAACTAACTTGAGCTAGCCTGTGGGCCGTATCATACGTTGAATAGGTTTCATGTGTGAGTCAACACACAGGACGGAGCTCAATAAGACAGAAAGAAAATGAAGTTCTGCCGAAAGTCTTACCGTAGGCTGTCATTCGGCAAAGAAAGTGAGCGCAGTGGTTTAAAAAATAAACAAAAAACAATTTCCAAAAAATAACGGACTTTGAACAAAGCGCCAAAGGTAAGTTTACATTTAGTCAGCAAGGGAGGGAAATTTCAAACAAAGGGGACAGTGAATAATAAGGGATGCCTACAGTCACACTGAATTGTAGGATATATTTTCGGAGTTACCATCTACTTGGGGGGGGGGTCCTACCCCCTATCGTTGCCTCTTTCTGCACCAATACTCCCTGCTATGCGGCTGCCTACAAGGCCCCAAGGTACAACGGGATGAGTAAGTCCTGTAGTCTGATCGACGAACACCCTCTCAGCGATGCTTCATCGTCTTCATGCAAGACTCGTTTGCGTCCCATTTGATCGGCTTCATCGACGAATCCTGCCTGTGTGACTTCTAGATGACTGAGCCTGTGTAATGCAAACCCGTCTGAACGGAGACGCCCACGGCGAGGGGGTTGGGGTGTGCACTTGCAGTGCATAGAATCGATCACAGACTGGCCCCCACCTTGTCAACAGGACTTCTACGTGCTGTACTCCTTTCCAGTCATAAGGAGATGTGTACATGCTGTCGGTAAACAAATGAACATAGGGACCGTTCATGGACCCTGTCACGTGAACTTCAGTGCACGATTGCTGGATAATAATCAGACGATAATTTTGAGACCTCATTCATTGCCCTTCATTTGCCTCACTTTCCTTCATAGTTCAATTTCCGTTCAAAACACCTCCTCAAGGTTTTTCCCGTTGCGTGGACTGGGTATTTTAAACTCATAAATGGCGCTCGTGCTTCCTTGTTATTGAATTTATTTTTTTTTAGTTTGGTGCACTTCCACCTTCTCTGGTATGCCACTGTGTACTGAGCAATGCTAAACGATGTGGAAATCGCTTCGGGTGTTACTTTTGTGTGCGTGTGTGCATGCGCTTCACAGGAGCAAACATGAGTAAATAACTGCAAGATGTGTAGATAAGGTGGTGCCGGCAATGAAAAGGGAGACCAAAATGACCGTTTCTGGCCTAATAGTCGCCACCAGTCTTACCTAATCCCAAGTGTGTATCACCTGAGATTCGAACCCGCAATCTTTGCTCATTTAGTTTGGCGCTCTACCATTGAGGCTGCGAGGGCTCTAGTTCGAGTCCCAACGGGAAGAGCACGTTCCGAAACCTGGTCAGTGAGCGCCCATTTACCATAGTTAGTATTCCCGACCACAACTGCCAGGACAAAGGGCTCGTGGCCCAATGGTAAACTGTCACACTCAATGACCAAATATCCCGGGCTCGAATCGCAGGCGATGCACGCTTGAGCTCTGATTATGACTGGCTAATGACGGCTAATAAGCCAGAAATGGCCACTCCGGTCTCCCTTATCTTTGTCGGCATCGCCTTATCTGCCTGATATGAGACTGCCTGCGTGGGTTCTAGTTTGAGCCCCAAGGCGCAACGGAACGAGCACTTCCGTAACCTGATCGGTGAGCGTCCATCTACCATAATACAAGATATGTCTTCGACTTTAACTTGTTGTTGCGAGGTTGTTTTCACAAATATTCCCGGTCTGTCGGACTCATCGGCTTACAACATGCCTTATACGTGACCTGATTTTCCCTTTTGTCAGTCCTTTTCAGCTTGTTTACCCTCCTGTCTGTTTAGGGCTGGCACTAGTTGTTAAGGGGCTGAGCATCTTCATCTACCTCGGTCTCATCTACTTACTGCGAGCTTCCTCCCCAGCCAACCAGACGGTGAATGAACTGCGTGTGGCCAGTACTCCGGCCTCCAACCAGGCGACCTCCATCGGTACAGAGAGCCCCAGGGAAGGGTCTTGAAACAATCGGGGGCGGACCCGCTGCCCACCTCCCCTTCTCCCCCCTCCGTGTTACCTACCTATTTCTCTCATCGTGGTCCTCTCCGCCAAGGATCTCCAGCAGCAGCGTAGGCCTTTATCTGCACACCCGGCCTTTTCTCACTCACTTCCCCCCCCCCCCATCTCTTTGAAGATTTTATATGACCTTACAGTGCCGATGTTATTTTTGGTATTATCATCCCTCCCCCACCTCAGTGCGCCCCAGATTCACCTTATTTGGACAAGAACGCATAATTTACTTCCCACCCGACGCTGCTGATATGCGCTTACTAACTTGTCTGCTTGTCCCGCGAGTTGCATTTTTGATTTTTCCCCTCCAGGTTATGCCGTGACGCATGACCGTCTGAGAATCTTTATCCCACTCACCGCCTTCTCTGCCACTGAGCAATTCTCCTCACAGCTGCATTTGACTTCCATCTTTCCCACCGCGCCAACTTGCGCACTCCCTCCCTCCATCAATCCGCTCGCTCTGTGTATGTAGGAGACGGAGGGATGGTGACGGTGCCTTTTTTGATATCCCCTCACAATGTATGACCCATCGCACTCCTCCCTGTTGCTCCTTCTCTAGAACCACAATTTTTGATTTCAAACCGTGATCCGGCGTCCCTGGCCTGCTGTGCGCATACCAGTGTATTTTTATTGCGGTTTGTGTGTGTGTGTCCCTGCGTCTGCGAGCCTTCTGATGTCAACCTCTGCCGCTTAAATTCACTGGTTCGAGGGACTGGACAACCTGCTTCTGTCGTCCCGTGTTTCATCCCAACATCTTCGGCTTTGAACCACAAAGTGCTCTTAAAATATTTTACTTAGAGAATTCTTATTTCTTTTTTTCGATCATAGTGTTATATCCCGGAAGGAAGGTAGGAAAGGAAGAGAGCCGGTTCGGACAACGAGCACTTTATTGGAAACTTGCGGACACGTGGGGGTTTTACTAGTAAGAAAGGTTCGCTATTTATAGTGGCTCCTGTGAGTTCTAGACCATTCCGACCAATGGCGTATGCGCGATAGCCGCCCGGTGGTAACGTCTTGAATGTTTGACCAGCCATCGATTGGGCCGCGCACGTGCAAAGCCACCACACGTGCTCGGCGCTCGGTCGGCCGTCTAACTTCATGCGTGTCTCATGCCGCCGGCTTGGTCCCCTGTTCAGCGCCTTAGGCCGTGGCCCTACGCTGCTTGTACTCTCCATAACACCTCCCGCTTTTGAAAGGTGGACCTCGTACCTTTTCTTCTTCGGGTCCATGACCAGTTTCCTTGGCGGTTTCGTTCTTCTGCTACTTCTACGAACGACGGGTGGTGTTGTCTGACTGTCTACCCTGGGGGTTGGGACCTCAAAGGTATCACACAGCAGGTCCTCACCTGATCTGCTAGGGGGAGCGGATGAAATCGTTGCCTCCAGGAGATCGATAGCACATGCTCTGATGTCGGAATCCCTCGCCATTGATTCAGCCAGTTCCAAGCTCACGTCCGACCTCTCCTCCCCCCCTTTGCATTTGGCCGCCGGCGGACTCTCGGCCGAAGTTGAGTCAGCCCCGAAGTCCGTAGGGTTCGAGGCCAGGGTTCAGCATTTCACCATTTTTTTTCTTTGAGTCGGTCACGTCGACTCTGGCGAAGTGACCTCCTGGACAATTTCGTCCTCAACTCGGCGTAGCACATAGGTTAGCAAAAAATCACACCTGAAGGATTGTCTTCACAACCGTCCGAGAACGTATTTGCTGCCGCGAAGGCCTTGGCCGGTTGCTTGCACTTCTTCAACTGGAATCCATCTTGAATCTACAACTGACGAATCTAGAACTGATGGCGACGCAGTTGATTGAGCAACAAGAGCGAAAATGATGGGGCGGATTAACACTGGGAATGGTCTATTCGTTTCGCAAGTATAGGAAGGTGCTGGGGGACGACAGCCTTTTTAATGGGGCAAAGACTCACTGATTTGACAGCGAAAGCTACCAAACAGAGCTGAATTATGTGTTCACGCTTTACCCAGGATGGGTATCCCGGAGATTTTGTGCACCAATGCATTTGACAACAGGAATTGAAGGAACAGGACAAGGAACTAGATTGTCCCGATTAGGCACCTAAATAAAAAAAACTGGCGAACACTTCCGCGCATTGAAAATGTCTCCGAAATAATTGAAAGACACCTTAGGAAGCACCGAACACGGCGCACGAACCGACGACTTCACCTTGTAACCAGCTTGTAAACCCTGGGAATGGGGTTAACTATTTAGATTACAAATTATAAGTCACCATGCGGTACCAGTAGTGCGGGTTACTGTGACCAAACTGGGGAATATGTCTCTGCACGCATACGCGAACATCGGCTGGCGGTGAAAAGGCGAGACCGCCTGCCCGAGGTTACAATGCATACGCTGGGAGCTGTACAAAAATTTGCCTGGAACAAGACTCGCATCATAGGTGTCTGCTTATCTGAGAAAGGCCGAGAATGTTTAGAGGCCATTCGTTCTGATAACTCATGCACCAGTCGACACATCGAATTGGATGCTGTGTACTGCAACCTGAAGGAAAACTGGAAAAGGCGTTAGCCAATCGGAACCTGATACCAACCCGCAGTAAAGGCTGACTGGCAGGAATGACAGGGTAATATCGACTTTAGGCGGCGGAAGACATACGAGGTGGCCATCGTGTAGGTTTGTGTGAAGGGTTGGTATGGAGGATATGGGGGAAGGTAAACGCTACATGTTAACACCAGTGGATTACACACTTTTCGGTACGCTTTACTCGGATTATGGCGGATGAAAAGTCTCGACGGGATTCTGAGCGCCGCTGACTGAGCTCTTTGATAGGATGGACGTCGCTTTTGATGTCGATATAATGCGTTGCCTTGGTGACAGTTTGATACTTAAGTACCCGATTGACTGCGCTTGGAGTTTTATCAGCATCCATAACATTGCCAGGTGTTCCAGGCTTGAGTTGAGGACACCCTTTGATTCTGCGCTTCCCAACTTGGCAGAAAGATGTTGTTAGGTCCTGCAACGCTATCGTTCAGTCAGACCGATGCAGCTTCTTCCAGATGAATTTACAGACGAAAGTGATCTGAAACGCCTTTTCTTATCTGCCTTTGAGTGGAAGTTAATACAGATTTGGGAACCGCCATCTCCAACTAATCAATTGAAGTCAAGATCCTATTTCGTAGCCGCACCTGTTAGGGGCTTGGGTTCGGCGTGAGGGGTTTAGTGTTAAACCCCCTGTTACCACCGGTCCCGTATGACATGCGGCTGGAGATTGTCTACTGTAGGTGTGGCTACGAAGTAAGATCCGACCCAAGTGGTCTGCATGGGAGCCCATTAAACACAACTCATAGCCGTAATTTAATCAAAGTACCCATTGATATTCCAGTGCCGTAGTCCACTCTGTAAATAATTTTTTTGCAAATGAACCATAGTTAATGCAGGTATGCCTATTTAAGTATTTTTGCAATTCACGGCGCTCAAAAGTACGAGGATTTCTGTTAGAAGAGAACCGAGATAAGTGTGGCTTTGCTTTCAGTGCAATTTATTTAGTTTTAAATTACACGGTCGGTGGCTCCCGTCTAGTATGGAACGCTGAATATGAAGTACTGGCGCATTTCCCGACAGGCAAGTGATCGTTGCAAGACCAGACCAAAGCGTCAACTCTTCGAATTCGCGTCTGACGCTATGCCCAGTGAACTGTGCGAGTAATCGATGTTCTATTTCCCCGACCAGTTTAACTAGCTGATTCCCTTATGGAGAAATCCCTGATTTGCGCTGACACACATGAACTTCGCGTCAGCGGGGCGGTTGCGACCCACTTGATAGTCATCGTCTACGGACCATCTGCGCTGCGTGAGTGTTTATGGTTCCGGTCCCAGATAGGGATCAGTGTTACAGTAGTTGGGCTAACTCATGAAATGTCAACCAACATTTCAAAATGCGTTCTCGTTTCGAAAAGATTAATTAAGTAGGGTTGTTAAACTAATCATCATGCAGCATAATTCTATAATGATCCAGTTACCTCAAGGTGTCAGCTTTCGAATGAACTTATTTCCGACTGCATGCAAGAACTATACTCTGCAAAAAAGGATTACTTAATTAGCATGCATTTTGCTCATTGATTTTCGATGCCTCTAAATGTCAAATTTTAGTTCATGGGAAACATGCATAAAAATATTCATTCTTTCGCTGATTCGGTAGAAAATCACGTCTTCTTCCAATTTTATACTCGAAAGAATGGTATAATTCGGTTTCAAAAAAGTTCTTAATTGTGCGCTTTTTTAATATCGTGAAATGGCCGTTCATAAAACGTCATGTATCTGCAGTTACGAATGTGGCTTATAAAGTAAACAATAGTGCTCAAATCCACTGCCTAATTTAATGAACCCCGTATGGTCTCCTCTTAATACCGTAGAGAAATGCATACTTTTCCGTACACGGAAAATATACGGCTCGTAGTTTTGAAACCCTGAATGCAAGTCTGACGGCAGAGCGTGTTCAAAATTATTCGGGAAATGGAAAAGTTTTTGAAAACCGAATTTAACCTATCCTTGGAGTATAAAATTGGAATAAAACGTCATTTTCTACCGAATGAGTAAAAGTGAGTATTTTTACGCATGTTTCTTATGAAATGTAATTGGACTTTTAGAGGCATCAAAAATCAATGAGAAAATGTATGCTACTTCATCATTTTTTGCAGAGTGTAGTTCTTGTATGCATTTGGAAATAAGTTCATTCGAAAGCTGACACCCTGAGGTAACTGGACAATTATAGAATTATGTTGCATGATGCTTAGTTCTACAACCATGCTTAATTATTCTTTTCGAATCTAGAACGCCTTCGAAATTTCGGTTAATATTTCATGAATTAGCCCACCTACTGTATGTTTGGTTTTGTAAAGGCGACAGGAATGTGGGCTAGCACTGCATAAAGCTACCCGAAGGTCCGTATGCACTCCTCCCTGACATATATAGCAGGAATTATCGGAGAATT